CAAGCAAAAGTTGATGAGCTCATGAGATGCTGTAATTTACATAGCAGAATACAAATTAATTCTTGTGCCACAGAAACCACCACCTCCCCCCATCTAAACAAAACCACACAAACAAAATAATTCATTATTCCTATAACATAGAAATATCTAATAGGATTTTCCAACATTGTTAAAAAGTAGGTATTGCATAGCAGTTAAAAGGCAGGACTTGCATAGATAGGGATCATTCAGTTAACCCAGCTTTGGTCCATTTTGTATCTCTCCATTTGCCTTTACCTCTGTTAGTTGTCTATCACCACCACCTCCTACTCCCTCAGTCTTATCTCCAGGTGTTCAGCGCTGTGGAGTAGGGAGCATCAGCAGCACTCCAGGAGGCAGCTCCGTGCCTGGCAAGCAGCACAGCCTTCAGCTCACACAGGCACATTCCCACAGCACCAGCCTCCCCAGCCAGCAGGGCAGTTTTTCTGCTCTTGACCAGGTGACAAAAGGCCAATCTCTGCAGAGATCATTAAGAACAGCAGGTGTTGCCAGTTTCCTATGCAAAGCAAATTGCAAATTCGGTTCCCACTTTCTACTAAATTGAGGGGGACTCTCATTGTCCTCCTTTTGATTGTTGTACTTTGGGAACATAAGTAGTACTTAAACACTTGTTCTTTAAAAGATACACAGAAATTGTATGTTTATGTATTTATGAGAAAAACTGCAAGTTGACTGCTTTACTCATTTTAGCTTTGACCAATGACATTTAATCCCAGTGAAGCTGCAAGCTCTGCTTTCAGTGTTTTCCCTGGTAAATGTCACTCTGCTACAGTGCTGCATTCACACACTCTAAAGTAGCTTTTATCAGCAGTGGTGCCATGTGCCAGTGTTCTCAGTGTTCCCAGACTGCTGGCTTAGCTTACTTTCTTCCAACAGCTGTGGAAAGTATCTGAAACACAAAGACAGGAACTATTGCATTTTTCTATAAAAGTGATTAATAGGAAATCAGATTTATAGAGTTGCTGAAGGTAAATGTTGTATTCTGATCCTTTACTTTTAAACCTCCATTAATAAACAGCTTGATTTGTTTGTTTTACTGTTTAGAATTTGGTTAGATTGCATTGGCAGGGAATTTTAGCATGTTAGGACTTAGTTTATAGACTTAGCTGTGAGCCCAGGCATCCAGTGAGCCAATTTAACAGGGGGCTGGACATTTCCTTGCATTAGAGGTGCATATGAATGGTGTTGAGAGACCTGTAGCACTGGCTTCTGGAACAATCCCTTACAGCTTCCTGGCAACAAAGTAGGAACCCCAGTGACCAGGAAAGTCCTTGGACAATTGCAGCTCAAGAGGTCACAAAAGTGACACAGAAAGTGTCCTTGGCCCCCTTTTTCACCCTTTCTGCTGCCTCATTAAGGAAGGCTGAAGTCAGAGATTTCCAGAGGCATATCTTATGCAACACAAATGTTCTACAGGCAGCCTTGTAGCTAAAATAATTGGATACTGAGGGAAAGAGATAATTGTAAATAGATGCTTGAGGGAAACACCCTCAATAGCTGCTTGACCTTGTAGAGGACCTGGTCCCTTCTTGCCCAGTAGCTGCCTGCCTCTTCCCCAGAGCATACTGGAGATTGCCATGGGCTTCACTGGGAGATACTGGTATTCTGCTGCTGGGGAAAAGCAAAAGCCTTGGTCTTTTCAAGTTGTAAGATATCAATCTCCAAAATTTACTTTTGAATAGTGCTTTGAAATTCACTAGTAGGACTGCTCCTCTTCTCATCTTGTAGGTGATTCAGTTCCTTTCCATCATCCTTTCCAGATTGTGTACAGGCAGGACCTGAGCAGCAACATTTCTACCTTACACCTTCTGCAATGGTTCCTCTTCTTTATAATGTACATATTTGTTTTCTCAGAAGTTTCCCCTGTACATCATACACTTGAAGAGTGTATGATGTACACTTGAAGAGTGTATGATGTTGGACTCCAAGCAGAAGGAACACTGGTCTCTCGTCATGCTGGCAGTGTGAGAGGGAGTAAATAGGACTGGTCAGACCAGATTTTTGGAGAGGAATTGCCACTGCAATTGTACCTACACCAGTTCTAAGCAGGACATGTCTGCAGACACGTACTAAAGGTTAGCTGAAGGTTAATTTTTAGTTCTGACTTACAGATCACAGCCATCAGTTGAGATAGGAATCTGTTTGTGGGCTTCAGCAGGTTTATAACAGTCTTTTTCATGGCCAGTTCCTAAATACAAGGATTTTGAGATAGGATCATCTATAATAAGAGTATTATATGAGCATTTTGCATACAGGAATCCTATAGAGCCACATCTGCTTTGTCCTGTTTGAACTCATATGTGTGGAAGGGGAAAGAGCAGAGGACATGAGTTATGATCAGACCATGTTTTTTTTTAAGATGCCAAATACATAATTTTCCTGATCCTTTTTCCTGCATGCAAGTACTTTTCCATGGATCAAAGGGCATCTGAGAGGCAGCTTACAAATTATAAACAGTCAGAAAGTGTAAACTAGAAGTTTGAACTGAATGCATGGTATCAAAACCTGAATATAGGAGAGGTATTTTATTTTTATTTTAATTTTGATTGCTATCTTTCTGTTTTGTACCTCAGCAAAGTAATAACAGCAGCTTAGTGTGGCCTTCAGAGCTACACAGAGATTCACAAATAGACCCATTTACTGTTATTTCATTACATGATCTTTTGTGAGTACACTTAGTTTGGAATTCATTGTGGCATTTACCTCTATGTGTGCATCTAAATACAAGAATACCAAAATACCAAAATTTTGGAGCTGCTGGCCAGACTTAATAAAGGGGAAGAAGCAGGATGAATTCTATGGCTTGATAAAGACAATGGTTGTAAAACTTCAGCTTTTTCTAAAACCTGTTCTACAGTTCTCAACTTCTGGGCTCACTAGAATGTTAGGATGGCCACCTGACCTAAATCATATCTACAACTGGTATATTTTGTGTCAGACTGTGGAAAGTAAGGGACCAATGTTTGAGCTTTCATAGTAGATAGAGGCTAAAAGAGTGCAAAGCCATTCAAGAAGCAAGACAGCTGGAAGAACAGGGATGCAAAGAGAGATGAACACCAGTGATCACAAAAAAAACTGAGAATGGGTGGGAGACATCTCAGAGGACTGGGTCTAGTACAGACAAATTGATGGAAAATGATGGCACTGAGGAAAGGACAGGAGAAAGGATGGCAATAGAATGGAGAAAGGGCTGGGGAGCAGTGAAGGTGAGACAATCTGTGTACTCCAGGTAGCTCTACTAAGGGAGGGGAAAGTGCAGTTTCTCTTCAGCAGTGGTGCACATTTTTGTCTGTTGCCTTAAAGCTGAGTTTTGAATAGAAAATCAGTAGTTAGACTGTATATTCAACTCACAACAATAGTAAGTAGTAAATACTCTTCTGAGGCTTTAGGTGCTTCTTATGCACTTATCTGAAAGAGTCCAGCTTCTGCAGGGATGATGGTGGGTTTTGCCTGCAGACACAGGAGAACAAATTGTTTCCTATGCCTACATTTACACTACAGAAACAAATGTTATTAGAAGTGGGGATACCTAAACATGCCTTAAGGTACATGTCAGTAGCCATGTACCACCATTACAGCCAACATTCATGCAAATATTTATACCCTAAAATTTCAAGATTAAAACTGCATACAGCACATTACTTGTAAGGGACTCTGTGAAAACATCAGCCAAGTCTTGCATTAATAAATAGTTCAATTAAGATCAACAATAAAATCAGATCATTTTTAGAAACAGTATTACAGTCTGTTGATTCTGGTCAGAAAACATAGCATTGCAGTCATCACATCCCCAGGCTGGATTTCTGGGACTATAATAAAGGCAAATAATAGATGAGAGAATATGGAACTCCATAGCACCAAATCTGTTGCTGCTTTTAGCTGAGGCAGGGTGCTGCTAACCAGATTATCTGTGGGATCTTGCCATGAAGCAAGAAAGGAAATGTTCTGAACTAATTGTTACAGCCCTGAAGCAAAAATTAAAAAATTTTCCACCACCAGTATAATATCTTTCACAAGCTGGTGAACTTGGAACAAAAATAATGTGACTTTATGGGGTATAGGACCATGATTTTATAAAAGAACTCTTTATTTCCACGTAACCCCAGCTGTGCAGAAAAGTTCTGATTACATGGTAGTATTTAAGTTTAGTAAGAAATTTCTTGCCTGAAATCAATTTTGATACCAAGTAAAGTGCCTAATACACCCTGGTTTAAACCTTTTACTTTTAAGCAATCTGTTTTTTCAGTTAAATAATGTCTAGAATAAAAAGAGCACTTTCTTTTGTTAACATTTATAAGTGAGTTTGAGATCTCTGCTTGAAGGACATGACATGTTTTTACCACAACAGCTTCCTTCTGCTTGCTTTTAACTGTCTCCTAGTGTTTATTAAAAATAAAAAATAAAATCTAGTCACACATATCAATTAATAGATTCTTGTGAAGGTCCTAATTCATCAGCACGTTTTTGATGAACTCTTAAGTGTTTTGCTGACTTAAGCCAAGGTTCAAGAGGTTTATAACCAGATCCCAGGTTTAATCCTAATTAAAATCCTTTGGCTTTATATATGCACAGATTTCATGATTGATACAACACAAGGCTGTGACTGAGAGTGGAAGTTGTTTTAGTTATATACCCACAAGTAAAGGAATGGTAAACTTTTCCTCCACATAAATAACTGTGCCATCTCAGAGGTATTTTCCTCCTTTATAACATGTACAGAAATATGATGTTTTTGTAAAAAAATATGGTATTTTGAATATGGTATTATTTGGTACTTTGAATTAATGTATTTTGTTTGCCCCTCCTATTTTTTCATCTTCACCTGCTTTTTCTGGGTTCTTAAAAATATTTTTTGAAATATATTTTTGTGTAAATGTAATGTTAAATGAATATACACTTAATTCTTTACTGCGTGAAAAAAACTCATTACTTACTTTTGTAATATGTTTCATCTCTTTCAGATATTGTGCAATGGACCAGGAACATGTGTTCCTGTCTGTTTATCTGCTTTTCTTCTTGGCCTTCTACGAATAAAAAGAACAATCATTGTGTATGTAGAGAGCATCTGCCGTGTGGAAACTTTATCCTTGTCTGGAAAGATTCTTTACTACTTTTCTGATTATTTCATTGTTCAGTGGCCTGATCTAAAGAAAAAATATCCCAAGTCAGTATATCTTGGTCGAATAGTGTAACAACAGAAGACAAACTAAACTTTACCTGAAATAGACTCTACAAACTTGCATTCCTGTAGTAATTTATTTTCAAGAATTCCTGATACTAAATTAGGCTGGTACTTAAAAATGAGACAATAAAGATCTCTACATTTAAGTAAAATTTGTGTGTATATATATTTATTGCTATCATGTAAGTCTGCCAATACCTCATAGTGGCTCTAAGTCTATCCTGTCTCTGTTTTCATCTAGTTTTTCTGCTATGTGAATGGTATTTTTTGTCTACAAATAAATATGGGAATTTGTATGAATGTAACATTTCCTGTAAGGAAACTTTGTGTCATTTTTAAAATTGTAAGCAACAAAGTCTTTTTCTAGGACAACAGATTTTATTTCCTTTATGCTAGTGGTGAAGTCCCTTGTGAATCCTTAGAGTATAAAGGAAACAGTTATATTAAGTTGGCTTCATGTCAGTTTGTACTTTACAGTCTTCCAAAACCCCCAGAGCAATAAAGTATCATTTTTCCTCTGGTCTTGTCAAAGCTGTCCTTATAATCTGTTGTGCAACTTTTGAAAATTGTTGCTCACTTCTTAAGATGAATAAAAAGGTGACAAGTGTCATGCTACAGGCACAATACTTACCCATTTAAGACTTTCTTCAAAGCCTATGTGCAAAAAGCCTTACCAAATCTACATCAAACAGAGCAAAACTGTCAGGTGGAGAAATTGAACTGGTTCAAGCTCTGAAATAGAGAAAAAAAAAACAGTAATAAGGGAAAGAACAGATTTTCCCTCTTTTCCTGATACAGTGAATTTGACTTCCAGTATATCCCATTTTCTCATTTTAAGAACCTTACTGTGAACAGTAAAGTGCATATACACTTAAGACTTTGCCACAGAAAATGGTATCCTGTACATTGGAACAATTTTTAAAAGGTATCTTGTTGGCAGTATGTGTTTGAAAGCATATTCCAGCATTTCACATTTATCCGGCTAAGCGTAATTCTACAACTATCCCACCTATAAAGCAATGTAAACACATCTGTCATCTGTACACACACAGAGCTCTGTGGCTGGCTACAGAAACATAAACAAAAAAAAGCTCAAAGAAAAGTAGAAATGCCCTCCAGAGTGCACAGTCTGACTCTGGTGAAGCCCAAGCAGCTCCTCACACTGCTGCACGAGGAGACTCTGGGAAGGCTCTTCCTCAGCATCAGATGTCAAAACATTGCAGCAGCTATTCTGGTAGGGAATAGGAGGTAAAATTGAACTCAACAGAAGCAATGGTTCCTGCTGTCAGCAAACAAGGGTCCAGTGGAATAGGCTGCTTCATGCAGAAAAACATTAGAATTCATCAGAAAACTTGTGTGGAAAACTGCTGTCACGATACTGCAAGGCCCTGTGGGGAAGGCAGCTGTTACAACCTGTCCTACAGACTTAATAATCTTCAGCATCACCCTTGATGTGGTCACATGTGAGAACAGGGAGTTTTGTGGGTTTAAACCAAGAATATGTCTGAAATTAAAGAGCAGTTAATAGGTTAAGGCTATGTGAGAAGGACTTTGTGCAGCACATACTGAGGTCCTTAAAAATGACTTGCTTGAAGTAAATCCGACATATCCAAGGGCTTTTTTCCCCTGAACCAGAGTGAAGACAAGCTTATCATGACTTTCTGCATGGTTGCAGATAGTTTGGTAAATTGGAGATACACTGGACTCTGTTATGGCTAATGGTAGTTTATTTTATCAGTACTTTATGTTTTCAAGAGAACTAGAGAAGAGGGGAAGAGGACAGAGGCAGCCTCTTCCTCTGCTCTGGGTAAGGGGCAACAGCACAGGCTCAGTGTGCTGGGCTTTAGAGAAGCCTGGGAGGTGCAGGGCACTGAG